CTTAAACCATAACTATAAGACAAAGAATTGATAGGGCTAATAAAATGTGAGGAATTAATGTAGTTAGAGATCTTTACCTGAAAGTGGAAAGAGGAATCTAATTAGTGGAGAGAGGGGATGAAAACAGAGAATATAAGCCCCTCATGGCCAAATTCTCAATAAATCTTTCTCCTCTGTGATGTATAGAATTGTAGTTCTTTCCTTGCCTGAGTTTTGGAAGGTCAAGTTCTTCTACCCACAATTTATGTACCAGAAACATTCTTTATTTTATGCAAACTGTAGCCAAGGTTTCAGTAGTTTAAAGAAGAGTTTGTTTTCTAAATTCCCACATTTTGGAGTGTTTGCACATTTGTACTGTGTCAAAGGAGTTTTCAAAAGTGGTTGATGCTACTAGGGAAAGGCAAACTTCCTATTGTCTAAATAACAGCAAAGGGATTGTGGAATATTCTATTGAACAGATTGGTAGATTGAAAGTCCCGAACACTGCTCCCTCCCCTATACCCCAGCACACAACAGCGTGTCCACGGGATCTCAGCCCTCTGGCTTTGTCTCTCTTCCTCCTCTCTTGCTTACTCCTGTGCTTGTTCTGCGTTTGTCTTCTCTGAGTTCACGTTAACTACCTGGCCACTGGTTTTTCAATCCCAAGGATGATTTTTCCAGATGTTTGTCATAATTCTTGTGACATTTCTAACATTTCCACTATTACTTCAAAGAAGTGATTGTTGGGATGCTTTCATCTGAGAGAGTGAGGAAGGGGAAGAGCAAGGAACCTGGAATTCAATGGAGCAGCCAGTTCGCAGCTAAATACACCTGCAAATTCTTATATCCAGACATGTGAGTGCACTCCTTGCACTCACCGTTGGTCATTAGGAATAACCCATGGTGAAACCAAAACTGCACATATTTCTGTAAGAGAAATGCCATTTCAGCAGAGATAAGAAAGTTGTAGTTCAACATTTTTTCTTTTTTTGAAAGGTCAGAAGCTGGCAGGGAACTGAAGGGGAAATCACCTTTCTGTAGGGATCTTGCAGCCCTTCCTTCTCAGGGTTCCAGCTTAATTCTGGGTAGTGGTTCTGTCTGATCAGAAGAATTTCAACTTTTGTGGACTGAGCGAAGGGAACAGGTGATGCAGGTTGCAAACTGTGGGAGTTCTGGACACTTCATTTTTTCTGGGCAAAAACTCTTGCCTGATTTCTGTGGTGGGCAAGCACCTGCAAGAAAATGTATTCTGCACCTTGCTGTCCCGCTTGGTAGCGCAGAGAGGATCAGACTGGTGCAGTAAGCTGCTCTTTGCCAATCCTCAACCAGGTCACCTTATTTCAACCCTGGAAGTCAACAGAAGCTGCCCTTCTTCCTCCTTAAGTTGTAGCTCTGCCCTGTCCACTTCAGCAGGCGGCACAATCCACCTTATCCTAAAGCTGACAGGTTGCTCACTTTAATTGAGAGGTGGCCTGGGTGGGGCTGGGGGGAACTGAGGGACCCTATTCCACGCCAAGACCTTTCCTCCCGTAGGAATAGTGGGTAAACCTCCCTGCGACAAGGCGCTGCGACCCCTGTGGAAAGAGCCAACTTTCAGGCTGTCAAGCCCTCCACTCATTAGCATTAACTGCTTCTCTAAAGGGGCCCAAGCCCTCGCCTCTAAGTGGCTCGCACACAAACGAGGCTCCAGAGACCGCCTGACAACTCTATCCACTCCCCCACCACCCACCGGCTGGACGCGAAAAGCTCTGCCTAGCCCATCTCAGTAATCATTTTTACTTTGAGTCCCCTTTCCTCCCACCCAGAAATCTTAGAGCGTATCAACCGCCCCAATTATGGAACCCCTTCGGGGACTGTGCGCAGAATGCACAATGCAGAGGGTAAAAGAACCGGAACAGCGTGAATTCTGTTAGCCAGGGGCTGTTCTAGCCTTCACCCCACGGTAGCCCAGTGTTCTGGACTTGGAAAAACCCTGTGAGTTCCCTGCCGAGATCTTGGTGGGGGGTGTGGTTGACCCCTCTCTTCCCCCTTACTCCGCCTCCAGGGCCACACTCTCCGAAAGGCTGAGCCAAGTTCTCATCAAAGCTCATCCTTGCTGGAATTTCGCACTGAAGGGATTTAGAGTGAGCCCTCCCGAGGAGAGCAGGTGCCTAATTTTCTACCGTCCCAGGCACTCCGCTTCGCAAAAGAAAAACTGCAGCGACACAATAGCTAGAGCATCCCTCGGGACTAATGTGCACCCCTTTTCATACAACTCAAACTCTTTGGGGACTGTGCGCGAGCGCCCTGGGTGTCACAGGTTCTCTCAGTGCCTTGTGAAACGGCGAAGGGAGGGGGCGGTGGGAGGTGAATACCGCTCTCTCTCCAGTCATTTTGGTACCTTTCTGTCCGATCCAGAACTGACTTTCCTTTCATAGTCACTGCAAAGGACCCAAGCTTCAAGAAGAGGTGGGTCAGGCCGCTGTCAGCGAGGCGTTGACACTCCTGGAAGGCGCTGGAGATGCGCGCAGGCCAGGGAGAAGGCTGCGAGGCAGGCGGCGCCGGGAGGGAGCGCCCAGCCCAGCAAAGAGTTAAAGGGAAGGGACGTGGGCTGTCACGCGTCATTGGGCAGATTATGTGCAGCAAACAAAAAGTGTGTGTCTGCGTGCCAGTCAGTCACTGCGTCGGGTCCATCTGTACAACTCTCTCCGCGTCTCTCTCGCTCTCTCCTCTTTCTCTCTCTTTCCCCCCTCTTTCTTTCCCTTCATCTTTTTCTCTGCATCTCTCTCCTCTTCAGGCAAAGCCTACAAGACGGAAGCACCACCAGCTCCTGACATGGAAACACACTGATTACAATAGGCAAAAAAGACACCTCCTTGCATCCTCCCGGTTCCAGGTGGCCTGATTTGGGCGATTTAATCCTGACCTTTTTCCCTGGTAAGTCTTTTGGCGTTTGATGGCAGAGGGGGAGGGGATGAAGGCAGGTCTGGTGGAGAGAGTGGAAAATTTGGTCCTCGGTCTCCACGTTATCCAGAAAAATTGGGTGGGGGGAGAGATAATTGTGGGGGGCTCCACTGCCAGTAAGATTATACAAAGGAAGTAGCGGATGGGGAGCAGTTTATTGGAAGAGCCAGGGACTGGGGAGCCCGCGGCCGCCAGACAATGCCTGCCGGGAGGGGAGGGCGAGTGGCCCGCAGCAGCGACGGCTTTCGGCGGAACCAGCCGGCTCTAGGGGAAGATCCTGGCGGCAGAGGAGAGCCAGGCCTAGCACCGTCCGGACGCCGAGCTGTGAACCGCGGCGTGGCACGGGCCACCGCGCACGCGGGAGGGCGAGCCGGGGTTCCCAGCCCACGGTTTTTGTGGCTGGTTCGGGGCTCTTGGAGGCAGCGGCGGCTGCGTCTCTTAGCGCAGCGGAGCGGGGGACCTTTCTCCGTATTGTTAGGTAGAACTGCATCTTAATGACTCTGTCCCTGGTGTTGCTGGTGTCAGAGACTTTTCAAAGGGAGAGAGAAATAGGGACAGAAAACCCTGAGTTGAAGAACATTGACAAGGGGAGAGCAGAATTTTGTTGCAAAGGAGAGTTCTTGGATTTCAATGTAATGTGTATTTTAAACATATGCAGTTGGAAATCAGGAATGTTAACCTGTGCAGGTTGGAAATGTCCAGAGCTAGAAGATGTAGCCAAAGAAAGTTCGTACTTTGTGAATATTTTCCCTTATTTCTACTGACAGCTATATAGCTCCAGTGGTTGACATTTGGTAGACGAGAGAATTCATGAAAAAGAGAGCGACCAAAGTTTTGGGCTCCATTAGCTGGAACACGGGGGGGGGGGGGGGGAAGCAACACCTTGTAATCACATTTGCAAGTCTAATCAGCTAATCAATGTTAAGATAAAAATGCCCATTATTAATATTCTTCCATAACGAACAACTTGGGAGGGGAGAGGTGTCTATATTTTACCACTTAAATTCTGCAAAAATACATCAACGATTGCCGATTTAGGTAAAAAATCAACTTGGAGAAATCTTTTGATGAGGGAGCAAGTAGCAGTTTTTGCACGTCTAACACTCAAGATATCTGTTTGGGACTGAGTCTTGCAGGGGGTGACCATGGCAAAGGGAGGCAAATGTCCTTTATGACAGCTTAATAGAGAGCCCTCCATTGGGGCATTACTTCTTAAATTGCTGTGGATTAAACAGCTGGACAGCCCACTGAGGACCACTCAAGCGGGGCTGCCCCCTCTTGCCCAAACAGAATCATATCTAGGGAAGTGAGAATTCACCAGTCATTACACATGCTATTTCAGACAGGGGACACCTCAGGCCCGCCCTGTACCTGCTCACAACACGAGCCACACACAGCTCAGTCCCCTCCCTTGTATAACAAGGTAACTGGGATTCGCCCTCAACCATAAATAAGTATGTCGAGAAAAAAATAATTACCTCTGCTTGCTGCTTTTAATTAAAGTCTCCAAGGGACAGTGTTGGATTATGGTAATGAGCAGACATACGTCCCTTCTTGTAGGCTGCAGAGAAAGGTTAGCTGACACAGAATTAGTGGCTCTGACACTCCACTTGAAATCCATTCGCTATGCTCCACTGTCCTTGCCTGCTCGCAGAGGCTGCTCCCCTCTTGGGGAGATGAGCTTCCAGACACCCAGAGGAGGGATACACAGTAGAGTCCTCAAGGCTTAGATGCTTTGTTCCCATGGGAAAGGCTATCAGCTCACCTTCACTCCCCAAACGTGCCGCTTGCCCAGTCTCCCCAGCCTTTTCTTAACTCTCTAGCTGTCAGCCAGCTCTGCATCTTCTACTATTCCAACTTTACTTAAAAGAGAAAGGGAGTGGGGACAGGAAATGCTCCTTCATGGACGTCTTTATAAAATATGCCCGGTTAATCTGCTTTATTTTTGAAATCGGAGCGTATGCAAAAATGAGGCAAACGGGAGAAAGACCTGGTTGCCAGGCTCTGCCCGCGTTCCTTGCCGGTAGAAGCGGTCCTGTAACTCACTTCCTTGTCCCGCGTGTGGTCTGTCCCCAGTGATGGAGGATTCGGGCGTCCAGCGAGGCCTCTGGGATGGAGATGCCAAAGCTGTCCAACAGTGTCTGACAGATATTTTTACCAGTGTGTACACCACCTGTGACATCCCCGAGAATGCCATATTCGGTCCCTGTGTCCTGAGCCACACGTCCCTGTATGACAGCATAGCGTTCATAGCTCTCAAGTCTACGGACAAGAGGACCGTCCCTTACATCTTCCGGGTGAGTGTCGGCCAGCGCTGTGTGGGGCGTGATGGCAACGGTCTGTCGAGGATAGAATCATTCTGAACACCACAGCAGACAGGTCTTCCGGGTGCAGAAAATGCACCGATCCAAGCACTCCTTGCTTCCACACCACACATTAGAAAAGGAAAACCTTTACTTCAAGAAAAGTGTCAACTGATTGTCTCAGGTAAAAGCCAAAATGTGTCTCGAAACGCCAGCAAGGTCTAAATCAGTATCTCCGCTTTGGGCTCTCCTGGCGATAAATTTGACTTCCTAAATTCAGGGGGCGATTTCCCTGGGCCCGAGGCTATTTGCACACTGCACGCTCTCTGTAAGTGCTGTTACCTGCACTCGGTACAGAGTTTTCCAGTCCTGCAGGCCTCCTGCTCTCCTAAACAGTGCCTTCTAGGGTAACATTAGCTGGTGCCCAGAGTTTGCATTTAAATAAAAATGTTAATGGTTTTGACAGTAAGGCATCATTGAATCCATATGCTTGACTTTGAAGATAAAAGACCTCTCACTTCCCATTCTCCCTTTATAAAGAAGAGCTATTAATTAATTGTTCGGGCCAAAATTAGGAAGATGAGTGCGTCAGAATCATCTGTAAGATCAAAGCTTGCTTTTATTTTTCTGAGACAAAACAAAATTGCCCATTTGTACGCAATGTGGGATGACTTAGAAGTAAATTATTAAGAAGCTAACCTAACGATAATTCTAAGAAGCCATTTCCTCATTTGACCTTCAACCAATATATTAAAATGACGACTTAAGTAATCTACATAACGGATGGCTATCTCGGCCACTGGTTGCCACTGGGGACCTAGCGGGGGTGCCAAGTTTTTGGAAGCAGGGTCTCAGGGCTTGGAAAGGATTCACAGCGGAAGGGTCCCAGTGCACTCTCTCACACAGCTCTCCCCCACCCCTCCCCTTGTCTTGCTTGCTTCCATTGCAAACCGCAGGTCGACACCTCGGCGGCAAATGGTTCCTCGGAAGGTCTCATGTGGCTGCGACTGGTCCAGTCGGCCAGGGATAAGGAAGAGCAGAACCTGGAAGCCTACATCAAAAACGGACAGCTCTTCTACCGCTCTCTCCGCAGAATCGCCAAAGACGAGGAGTTACTCGTTTGGTACGGCAAAGAACTGACTGAGTTGCTCCTGCTCTGCCCCTCCCGATCTCACACCAAAATGAACGGTAGGTCCGCGGTGGGGCCTTTCGCTAGCCAAGGGGAGAGCTTCGGGGACCAGCGTGGCGCGCCAGTCCTCGCTGGGGGAAAGCTGCTGACCTGGAGTCCCTCCTGGGTGCAGATAGGTGTGGAGCCGTCGGGGGGGCCCTCTGGGGCTGACTAGCTTCAGTCAGCAGGGGTGGCTATCAGGCGGGGGGAGCTCAGGCCCTGTTGGGTTGGGGTAGCGGGAAGGGCGGGGATGATGGCACGCTGGCCTGCCGAGGATGGAGAGTAACCATGTGCTATGCACCCGCGCGCGTGTGTGTTTGCTCACCAAGCAGGGTCGTCCCCCTACACATGCCTGGAATGCAGCCAACGTTTCCAGTTCGAGTACCCCTACGTGGCGCATCTGCGTTTCCGCTGCCCCAAGAGACTGCATAGCGCTGAAATGAGTCCCCAGGACGAGCAAGGCGGCGGTTTGGGCACCAAGGACAACGGGGGCATAGGCGGGACCAAAGACCACCACCACCAGCAGCAGCAACAGGAGGCACCCTTGGGTCCGGGTCCTAAATTCTGCAAAACGGGCCCCATCCACCACTATCCGGCACCCTCGCCCGACAGCGGCAACCCACCTGCCGCGTCCGGAGGCAGCAGCGCCAAGCCATCCACCGACTTTCACAATCTGGCCCGGGAGCTGGAAAACTCCCGGGGAGGCAGCAGCTGCTCCCCAGCCCAGAGCCTCGGCCTCGGCGGAGGCGGCCACCAGGAGGCGGAGCTGAGTCCCGACGGCACGGCTACGGGCGCCTGCAAAGGGAAGAGGAAATTCCCGGAGGATTCGAGCGAGGGCGGCGGCTGCGCTGGGCTGGTCGGGGGCCCGGGCCGCTTCGCCGAGCGGCCCCTGCCGGCTTCCAAGGAGGACCTGGTGTGCACGCCGCAGCAGTACCGCTCCTCGGGCAGCTACTTCAGCTTGGAAGAGAACGGGCGCCTCTTCGCGCCGCCGAGCCCCGAGACCGGCGAGGCTAAGCGCAGCGCGTTCGTGGAGGTGAAGAAGGCGGGCCGCGCCGCCAATCTGCAGGAGGAGGTGGCCTCCGACGGTGCGGGAGCCGGCGCCGAAGATCAGGACGCTGGCGGGAGCAGCGGCGGTTCTTCAACACCCGCGGCCGCGTCGCCCTCCGGCGCAGAGAAACTGCTGACCCCGCGGCCCGGGGGTCCGCTGCCGGGTCGGCTGGAGGGCGGCAGCCCCGCGCGGGGCAGCGCCTTCACCTCGGTGCCGCAGCTGGGCGGCGCGGCAGGTGGCGGTGGCGGCGCGGGGGCTGGCACGGGCGCTGCAGCAGCGGGCGGCGCGGGTGGTGGCCAGGGCGCAGCGGGCGACGAGCGCAAAAGCGCTTTCTCGCAGCCGGCGCGCTCCTTCTCGCAGCTGTCCCCGCTGGTGCTGGGCCAGAAGCTGGGCGCGCTCGAGCCTTGCCACCCCAGCGAAGGCGTGGGCCCCACCAGACTCTACCCCGCTGCTGCAGACCCTCTGGCCGTGAAACTGCAAGGGACGGCGGACCTGAACGGAGGCTGCGGGGCTCTGCCCAGCGGCGGCGGCGGCGGCGGCCTGCCCAAGCAGAACCCCTTCCTCTATGCCACCGCCTTCTGGCCCAAGAGCTCGGCGGCGGCAGCGGCCGCGGCGGCAGCGGCCGCGGGGCCCCTGCAGCTACAGCTGCCGTCGGCGCTCACGTTGCTGCCGCCGTCCTTCACCTCGCTGTGTCTGCCAGCGCAGAACTGGTGTGCCAAGTGCAACGCCTCCTTCCGCATGACCTCCGACCTGGTGTACCACATGAGGTCGCACCACAAAAAGGAGTACGCGATGGAGCCCTTGGTGAAGCGGCGGCGGGAGGAGAAACTCAAGTGCCCCATCTGTAACGAGTCCTTCCGGGAGCGCCACCACCTCTCCAGGCACATGACCTCGCATAACTGACCCCCGGAGGACCCCGGCGTCCCAGGAGCGCGCGCGTACAGTCGAGCCACCTGCAGGAACGAACGCGCTTCCTTTCACCTGGAAGCACTGCACCTCGACGCAGACAGGTGCACACACACGCACACGCACACATACACTCCGCTGCCAGAGGAGTCCTCCCATGCAGATATTTACCCGGAACACTTTCGCGGGAATCGGGATGGTGGCTTTTTGATGGATGGGTTGTTTGAGGGAGTTTTTGCTTTGAATGCACGCATTTTCACTTTCCAAAAAAAAAAAAAAGAACTCAAGGTACATTTTTAAAAATGTCATATATTGCAACATATTGATGCATTTGTCATACGTTTCTACTTAAATTATTAAGCACTTGCAATTTAGATGTAATAATTATATGTAAGGACAAAATTTATTTTAGATATAAAGGAAACGAGGAAGGTGGGATGCTTTCTGCGTTCTTGAGGACAGTTTGTGTTCTTACAAAAAGAAACAAAATGAATAAAAAGGGGATTTAAGTTTCCAGGGGGAAAGTGCATGTATCATGAAATGATTATATAGACTTCAATGAAGAATGGCATCAATTATGTAAATATGTATTTCCTTTTAATACAAAGTGTAATTTTGTGCCAGTGAAATGGAGTCCGACTAGTCGTGTGTTCCTTTTATCCTCGGAAAGGTTCATTAAACTTTATAGTTTATCTGGATATGTTGAATGCTTTGACAATAAATGACTATTTTCCTCAAAGCAATTATTTGGAAAGTTTTTAAAAGTTCTTTTATTTATTATTATTATTATTATTATTGTATTTAATGGCTGTGCTTTGAGCAAGCGTTTGTTTTCATGGAGTCTCTGAGAGAGAGCAGGAGAGAGGAATGAGAAACGTCGGCCCGGTGAGGTGCTTGAGCTTTGGAGCTGTAGGTGTGTGCCAGGCAGCTGGAGGCATGCTCCTTCTGTTAGCAGGATAACTGGCACATTCGCACGTAACCAGAGAGAGCGTTTTCAGGCCCAGGTGTGGGAGACCAGAGGAAGCATTCTCATGCGGTTCTGGAAGAGAGCCTGTAGTGCAGGGACCAGCAGTATTCTGCCGTGATCTAGGAGGCAACCTCAGGATGCAACCACAGGGAGCTCACCGGCGGTGACTGTGTGTTACTGTTCCTTCTGAAGGCCTCCACAGCCACAGGCCTTCAGGGGAAAAAAAATGCTGAAACATGTTAATCCAGAAAAATCTGACAAATGTCCTCCTTTCTCCACCCCCTCCTTTAAGGACAGTCCCTTGGTACTCTGTACAACCTGACAGTTCTTACTGATGAGCAAGGGGCAGGGGAGGGCTGTTTATGGGTAGCCTCAAAGCCCAGTGAACTTGGGGTAGCATGCATTGTCCGTGGCTGACTCCGTGAGCCATGATGCTCTAGAAGCAGACACTCCCCTGGCTTGTTACGGGACCTGTCCATCTGTTCCCCTGTTTCTTCACACCCAGGAGAACACCTGAAGAAAGGCTTGGAATGAGAGGCTGGCCTCCACGGCAGAGTTCATCACAGTCTTTCCAATGGCTTTTTCTGAAAGCCTGGCAAAGCTGCTACAAACCAACCATGGTTGGCGGTGAGGGGGAAGGGCACAGTTAAAAAACTAGATGTAGGGGGGAAAAGTGGCTTTTGTAAGGGCTTGTGACCAAGGTTGGTGAAAAAGTTAGCTTCTTTAGAAACGTGCCAATGCTCTCTGTGTGTGTGTGTGTGTGTGTGTGTGTGTGTGTGTGTGTGTGTGACTTCCCTGAGGGCTGCTCCTGCTTTTCCTGGGCACCAGTTGTGTGTTCTGACACACACCCCACCTAGTGGTCGCAGCACCCTTGTTGACCCCATTTGACCTACAGGTTGGTTTTGTTTTTCCATCTGTAAGTCAGCGAGGCTGCTTCTGCATCAGGCAATTTCTAGCATCAGGATTTATTTATTTATTTATTTATTCATTTATTTACTTAGCCTAATGCGTTAACCAGACTTTGAACCTAAAGAAAACTCTCGCTACAGCAACCCCAACCGGCTGTGGAGACAATTTGCTGATGGCAGGAGGTGAGGAAGATTTGGGAGAGAAGGGAGAGATGGGAACTGAAGAGATGTGTAAATCCCAAATAGCTGGATTTTAAGGTCTCTGGAACAAGAATCACTTTGTTTTTCAAACTCACGGGTGCAGCTTGTCCTGCGGCCTACCTTGGAGGATACTTTAAGGCCCTGTGGCCTCTTCTCCACGCTCCTCCTGCAAGCTCCTTTTCACCAAAGGCAAGCATCACCTGTTGGGCAATCAGAGGGGAGCTCAAACTGGGGGGGAAAAAGGAGAATCTCGCAAGTTTTGAAAAGGGCTTCCTCTGCTGTGGGAGTCCTTTTCTGCAGCTGGTGGCGAGCCTCCCCGGCGTTTGCTCTTTCGACGGCTGCTACATCATCGTGCCATCATCAGGAAGAACGCCGCTGAGCCTTGACTGAGCGGCGGTCCACGCGACGCAGCGCAGTGCTCTCGTGGTACACAGTTCAGGTCTGGCTGAAAAGATCCACGGATCAACCCGCTTATCCCAAAGTTAGTCAAGCCAAAAGCAGAAACTATTTAGCGGCGCTCTGTAATCCTACTGATGACATCGTAGCCCCCGTCGAGGCGGAGCCCTTTCTCGGTTGGGGGGTTGGGGAGAGGGTCCGAACCCAGCCCATCTGCCAAGTGCTTGGCCGAGGTAGTGGGCGGAGCTGTCTGCTCGCAGCTGGTAAGGGTACAAGGTCACCGGGTTAGGCAGGCGTCGAGGCAAGCGTGTCCCACAGAGTGCACGCCAGGTGGCTCGAACTTGGAAGTCTGAGCAGATGGCTCGGCTTTTGAGTGTTGGAACCGCATGCGGGTCCCAAATACCGGGGGAAGAGAAAGGCGAGAGGTTTACGGCACCGGCGTCTGTCGCGTCCGGAGGAATTTCCGAGGGTGGCCCTCCGCCTAGGGCTGCGAACCCCGGGCAGGTGGTGGTTTCCGATAGGCGTCCGTGGATGTGGACGCGTGCACTTCCAGAGGGTGTGCTTGAAAGGTGCAAGCGGGAAACACGATTGGAGAGCTCGCAGGTGCTGGAGTGCCTCTGTGAAACCAGCTCCTTCCCACGCCCCGACAGCCCACCAACAGCCGTTGCGACCCTCCGATGCCAGAGACCCTGGGGTTTGCAGTGGCGCTGTGATGCTTTGCCAGCACACACCTGCGTGGACTGACTCCCCACTGAGGCCCTGGGGGCAGGGGTGAATGAGCCAGTGACCAGTCCGCTTAAGTCCGACCTGGTGGGCTAGACCCCACCTGCCACTGTCACACCCAGTCCAGTGAAAGATGTGCCGGAGAGGGCGCTGCCTGAACTCTGGGCTCCTGAGAAGTGCCACCGCTCGTGTCTCGTGTCTCGGCTCCCGACCTCTAGTCGACCTGGACACCCCTCCACCCTCCCTCCCACGGCACTGCAGCCGGCTCAAGGTCCTGGACGCCACACCGCCATCTGCAGCGCTGGGGCCAGAGCACACCGGCAGACCCGGCATGGGCTGATGAGCCAGCACGCAGGTGCATCCCCTGGGAGGTGTTTAGGTTTTCTATCTTTTAGCCTAAACTCTTGTTCCTGAACCAGTGTGGTTTACTTCACCGTGTCTCCTGTTTTCCCTTCTTTCAGTTCCTCCCATCTCCCTCGTCTTTTCTGCCTGACAAGCATCACTGGGGTCTTCCCTGCTCCCTTCAGCAAGTTATGTGCAAAGTCTTGTGACTGTCCATCCAGGCAACGGGTTCTGTTGGGGGGCCACAGCTGCCCAGAGGCGGCCTTGAGGTCTTACTCGGTGTCCAGGGCTTGCAAGAGCGCGATGGACAGCCACTGATGGTAGGACACACACACACACACACACACACACACACACACACACACACACACACACACACACACACACAGGAACACACCTAGTATGTTCTGTCCCAGCCTGGAGATTTTGTTGCCCTTCCCTGAAGGTGACAGTCAACCCCCAAGGAAGGGGCATGGAAAGTTTAGCTTGTCCAGGAGTGCAGGTACATTGCTGATGGGCATATTGTTTTAGATGTGTTTATTTGAAAAGTAGGGTGTGTGCGTGCGTGCGTGCGTGCGCACGCGCGCATGTGTGTGTGTGTGTGTGTGTGTGTGTGTGTGTGAGAGAGAGAGAGAGAGAGAGAGAGAGAGAGAGAGAGGTCTTCCACCTGCTGGGCCACTTCCCAAATGGCCACAATAGCCAGGACTGGGTCTGACTGAAAGCTGGCACCAGGAACTCCAAGTGAGTCTCCCACTTGAGTGGCTTGGAACTAAAAACTTGGGCTACCTTGCAATTCTTCCCAGGTGCATTGGTGGGAAAATGACTTAAAAACAGAGCAGCTGAGTCTGGAAGCAGCTCTTTGACAATCAAACATTAGCATCACAAGTGGCAGCTTCATCTACCAGCTAGCCTCCAGGGGCATGATTCTGTTCCTATGTTAACTTGGAAAGAACAGTGGCTTTTAAGTTAGGACACCTGCTCCAAGTTTTGTGGCCTTTGCATCTGTTTGTCTCCATTTTCAATACCTGCACATGTGCACAATAACCCTGTGGGCTTGTCGCAGAACGGTGTCGTGAAGGAGAGCATAGATGTAAAAGATTCTTTTGTCATCATATGTGGTTGACTTCATTATTGATGAACGACACTTTTAGCCTCCGTTTGAGATCTGAGAGTGCCTTTGAAAGTGTTGTCTTCTCAAAAAGTTTAGTACTTCAGCGAGAAATTTGTGAGCTTACCTTCCTCTAATGACCTTTGCTCAGTGTCAGTGAGAGCTGGGAGTAATACCTGATTTGATTTTTGGGTGTGTGTGTGTAACTACTCAGGACTTCTTGCATTTCAAGTTTATAGAAACACCGAGGGAAAGAAATGAAACATTCAGTCAAGTGAGTTTATGGGTCAATTCATGTCTATACAGTTTAATTTTCCATGTTGTTATTCAGTTTTCCTCTAGTGTTAAGACAGAG